TCCAATAGCCACTAAATAATAAATAAAAATAACGGTTTAGTTTAGAACAGCGATTATTCTTCGCTGTGCGAACTGTGCACAGCACATCGAAACAAAATTTTGCACACATTTTCTTTGAACAGAAGTGCGGATGCCGCACAGAAAAATTAATATTTTGTAAAATAGTGTGCACAGTTGTAAACGGTTACTCATGAATTTTATTTCATTTTATTTTATTTTTTTTTTATTTGCCGCACAGAAAAAATTTCCAGATTGTGCGGTACCCGCACAGTAAATTTAATTAAAAAATTAACATGGTTTAGAAAGAAATAAAAACCATTTCATAAAGAAAAATAGATATACCAGATGTACGATTTTTATGTCTATATTCAATTTCATTTAATTGAAATTCCAACTGTGTAATTCTGTATAGGCAAATTCAGGTAAAAATTTGATGCAACCTTCAAGATGTTAAAAGGAATTATAAGAAACCAATATACTTTAGCTTGCTGTTATCAATTTCTTGAAGCATTTCCTCTAGTTTTCTATCTGAATTACGTAGGTCATTCTCAACACGAAAGCGTTCAGAACGCTCGTCACGATAGTCAGATTCTAGACGCAGTCGTTGAGCACGTTCTTCTAGACATTCAGATTCTAATTGAGTGCGTTCATTGCGCCATTCATTTTCCAGTTGGCAATGTTCTGCTCGAGTTGATTCTAGCTCTTGTTGTACTTTCTGAATATCTTTCGTAAGTGCAGTAATTCTATTATCAATTAATTCACACCACAAAAAGAAACAAATTGACCACAACATTATTTGAAATGTTAAAGTGTAGTGCGATGTTGTTGCGATGTGTTTATTTAAAGAACAAGAAAACACACCTCTCTTCATTTTCTTTTTGACTTGTCGTCAATGCTTTGTTGCTATCTTCGGAATGTTTTAACAAAGACTCTAGATTCTGGCATTTGTTCACATGTGCCATTCTTTCTGTATCGCGTTCACGTAATAATACTTCCAATTTTTCGCGCGTAGATTCAAGCTCAGATGCATAGCATGAAGACTTAGCATCCGAATCTTGTATTAATTGACGAAGTTGTGCGATAACGTTATTGAGTTGCGCGTTAGATTCAGCGAGATGGGTGTTTAGATCAGTCATTTGAGCAATTTGAGATCGCTCTTCATGATGAAAAATAATAATATTAGATTACAAGATTTTATAATAACATTTATGGTATACATAAACCGCGAATACACATACGTGACTGAAAATTAGAGGCATGGCTTTCAGAAATGGATTTGTGTTGTGTAGCAAGTTTATCGAATTCTGTCAATATAAGTCACAATATGGTTCATTTAATATTATTAAATTAATAATGATGCCACATTTTAGAAAATGTTACGCACCACATTTCAAGGACTCAATTTCACTTTCGATTCGACTTTTTTCATCTCGTACTTCTTCCATACGTTTCAACATATTTGATAAACTATTGCGATACAGATAATATTTTGCTTTCATTTTCTCAATTCTCTCACGATTATGATCAGTATAAGTTTGTTGACGTTTTATTAGCGCTTCTACAATGGACATACGCTCTATATACAAGGACAAAGAATGATCCCGTTGCTCAATGGTATGTTTTAACCCGTGAATCTCATCATTCTATAAGTAGCATAATTATGATATTATGAATTTAATTGAAAAGGGATGTTATGAACAGAATTTATGAGATGGTTGACTCTCACCAGTTCTTTGATTAGGGAATCTTTTCTAGAAACTTCGTTTTTCCATCTGTGAGCAACTTCAATTATAATGCCCAAATCGTCTCCCTCATTTTCCTTGTGGAGGTCATCAATGTTTGTGCTATTTCTCAGATCCTTTGAATTGATTTGCGAGCAGGGTTTCATGAAATTTGAAGTGGGCGCATTAATAGGTACGCTTTCATCAACTGAAAATGCCTTTGATGATAGATCAAGCTGATTACGCGAGGAGATTAAACCTTCTGAAGAAAGATTTTGATTGCCTTTCAAAGATAGGTCAACATCCTGAGGATTTTGTGTCATATGTGATTCAATATTACAGTCGTTAATTTCCATGTCTGTTTGTCGAATTTGCAAGTCTTTCATATGAATAGAGTCTGATTGTAGAGGCAACTCTTCATCGGAATGAGAAGAACATGATGGATTCAATCCTGGTAATGCAACTGAGTCGTCGTTCGTTGAAATTTCTTGAGCAGGATGTTTTTCAGTTGTACACTCTTCTAATTCTGTTTCTGAATTATCTTGCTTTGTTGGAAAACTCTTTGAAAATAATGAAACGTCCGAAGAAGAACTATCTGGTTGAAAAATTGATTTTGGTGAAGAATCACTGGGTGATTGTAAATCTGGATTTGGAGCATTTTTATGAAAATCTTTGAAGGATAAACGTGTTTTTGTTCTGAAATGGGGCTGCGCAAAGACATTCATCGTTAGTTTAGAGGAAACTATACATGGGTGTCTAAAATGTTTTATTCTTGGTGTAAATTTAAATGGAGAAAATAATTTTTGACAGTCAAAATCGCAAGTAATTTAGTACCGTAAAATGTGCACTGCACCCTCTACCCTAATTTTTTCAATCTCAGATTGACGGGAGTAACTTAAAGATTTTATCGTTATCTCCACTAATCTGAGATTGAAAAAGTAGGGCAGCGCTTATTTTCCACATTTTATGGTTTGGTTTATAAGTTATGTCGAAAACATTTTAATATGCCGGTGATTATCTAAAATCTAAAATTATAAAATTTGAGATAGCATAGCAGAAGTTCGTTTTGATTGGCTAAAATTTGAATAATTGTTTATCTTTTATTTAGTTAGAGATTTTACCAAATACAGGGGGATGGCTAAAGCCATGTACCCACGTGATTTTGACGTTTTAATCATTTTAATTAAAATTAGGATAAGAGAAATATGGGTAAAATTGTCTTTCGACATTTTTAATTAGTCTTTTTGCGTTTTTTGTATTTTTTGACTTCTTTGGTCGCATTGATTTCAGGATTTATAATCCTATTGAAGATTTACTATACGAAAGTGATGAATCTTTAAAATCTAACTCCTCTCTCAGTATTAATTATTCAAGCTTAAAAATAATATAAAATAGGTTAAAAAAGTGTGCTCTTTAATTTGTCGTGAGGGTTTTTTTGGTACATAAAACTTAATTTTTTTTTCCTAATATTTTGTAAATATTTATATCGATCGATATAGTTTAAAAGAATTAATTTGTAAATAATTTGCATTATAACATAAGTATTAAAATTTTGACACGAGCATTTAAAGTACAAGTTCTAATGCATTGATTGATATATTTGCCTTTTTAATTAATTACGAAGTTAAAGACTAGATAGCAAAATTGCAAGCAAACACGTGACATGTTAAAATAATACTGATTGGGCGAAATCTTATGCTAACAGTTGTAAATTACAGTATAATAGCCAATAAAATTCATATTCATTTGGTTTGGTGATTTGAACAAAATAGGTTTATCAGTAAAAGGGATATTTGTTTAAGATATGTAGCACCAAGTAAGTGTAGAAAGTTTGCTTTGAGATCGGTAAGTATTTTATCAAGTGACAATCAACATGTAGGTAGTTTTTTTAGTTAGAACAGTTTGGATAAACTTGAGTATATTTTTTTTACAATGCCTCTTTAGGATTGTATTATTGATTAAAAAAAAAACTTTTTTGTTAATGATTCTTTATATAAGATTCTTAATAATAAAGTATAAAGAAATATATTTGAACAAACGAAGTAATAGATTTTAACCAAATTAAAAATATAAAAAATCAATACTGTTTAATTTAAATAGTATATCATTACACTAAAATAAGATATATCTTCTAACTTAATTTGTAAAATTTTATATACTCAATTGCCAATTAGTCTAATTCACGCAATTCTTATATATTCAATTGTTTAATTTGTATAACTTTATATTTAATTGCCTAATTAGCACAATCTTTATTTCAATTATTCAACTTGTATAATTTTATATGCTCAGTTGTTAGTTATATAATTGTTATAATATCCAATCAACAAATTTATATTTAATTGTTCAATTTCATAATTTTTGTATCTAATTCATATCCAATTGTCTGGTTTATGCAATTCTTATGTTTGATTATTCAAGTTGCAAACTTTTATATTTAATAGTTTATTTTGATTCAAAAATCAGGTTTTGTAATATAAAGTTTTACAATTTATTAAATATTGATAATTTATTATGGGTTTTATAATTTATCGTCATGGTGATATATCACCACCCCTGATAAACCAATTAGAATGCAGGATCAGGTGTAATATGAAATTTATACGATTATGAATTTTTTCAAAAATTAACTATAGTATGAAATTTTGCCTATGAAACCCTCTAGTGCTCTAACAAAAAAAATTCCTCTTGAAATTTTGAATTAAAACTTCTTCACTAAAGCACTCTACCATAACCCTAACCCTAAACTAATAAATTAATTTTATTGTTTTGATTTTACATTACACCAATCTTATAAGGTACTGTTATAGAACAGTTTATTATTTTATTAGTTTATTATTCCGATATTGTATTTTATTATTTATTTTATTATTATT